TCTAGTGTGCCACTGGTTACGCGCTCGCCCGCGTGCCAATGCTGGCACGCGTGCCAGGGGTTGCCGACCCCTGCACTAGAGCATACAGAGCTTCAGTGTTACCAGAGAGAGAGAGAAAGAGAGAGAAAGAGCCAAGGCCAGCACGAAGTCAGACTATTAAACCTCACTGAGTGCAGATCAATTGCTGTTCGGGACTCAGTTCATTCCTTCTCCTCCTCAGGTCTCCTGCTCTTTGACCCTGGGATATCACTCAGCTTCCTGCCCTGGTCAGCAGCTCCCCATGGATTCTTCATTTGAATACACTTTCTGCAATGTGAGCTAATGGTGAATGATTCATCGACTACACACTACCTGCTGGACACAAAGCTTACAGTGAAAATGCGTACTACATTAAAAAAGGGAGTTCTAACCCCCCTGCCCGCTCATTTACTTGCATGTCTTACTTTATATTAAGGCTGCATATAACAAATACTTTCATCATCAAATACTCTAACCATTATTTTCTAAATGAATCGACTGGTCTACAAAGTAGTTTCAAGTCCATCCTAGTTTCTGAAAGCGGAATGTAATGTGTTTAATGTCTTGTTCTGCCGGTTCAAAAGCAGAAGATATCCACTTTAATACGATATAAAACAAAGAAAAGCAGGATATCCCAATATTTGAGAGGCTGAAAACGGCATTTGATGCAATTCTTTGGCATGAAAACTACAATAGTTTGTTAAAATGATTTTCTGTCGATTGCATAACTGATTAGTGAGCAAGTCTTTGCATCTCTACTGTATATCAGTATAAAAGACTGAATTATAGCTATAAAAATGCAATTCGACATATAACATAAATCTCCTTTGCATGTAAAATGCACCGTTCTCCAGCTGCAGGCCCTTCTCCCCAGAGGACATTTAGATCAATTTCATTCACTTCCTCATCAGAATGAGTAATGATCTCTGGTACTGGGTTAGGCTGCCTCAATCTCGGTAAGAGATCGTCAGTGACCATTTTCAATAAAAAATCTTCATCTCCTTTTTCTTCCCTCCTCGTTCCCCCTTTTCTCCAACAGACATGTTTCTCCCTTCCCTTTAGTGTTTTTTCCCTCTGCTAGTCCTACTGTGGTGCGACTCTAAATCATAATTTCTCCTCTGACAATCTTTCCAGCTCAATCAGCTGAGTCTCCTCTGCCTTGGCAACAGTGTCACATTATCATGTACCTGCTGGGATGAGAGGAAATGTGTTCATTTGTCGCCGCTGTGAGGCTCGACTGCATTTGACAGTCTGATTCGGCATTACTCAAAGGATATGAGCAACGTTTATCTCTGTTATAGGCTTTTAAATGGCTTAAACTTGCCATTCTGGGACTGATAGCACATGGTTAACCCACTGTTATTGCCCTGAGGGGGCTGCTGTCCCAGCTCCTCTGCGAGAGAAAGGGATGAAGAGGGGAGAGAGTGAAATGGAAAGTCATGCATGTCTTTTCTCTTCGATATGTCTAACAAACAGAAATATCATTGGACCTGGGGAAACACATACATTTAACAATGATACATTATAATCAAAAAGTTGTTGAACCACTCCTTTTTTTATTTCTGCTCTCTAAAAAACAAGAAGAAATGTGACGAAACATAGTAAGGACAACAATAATGAGAAAAAGGACTTGCATGCTCACCTGACTCTTTGCCCTGGGATGTCCCCTGGTCTTCTTCTAGTGTCAGGTCATTCAGCAAGTGCTCCAGGATCTTCTCTGGGGTCCCTGAGACCACCACGAACCTGTCAGACACAACAGAGTCAGTGGAAGAGTCCTCGTCGATGGAGGACAGAGAGCGGCTGCTGCTCCATTCCTCCTCTCCCTCCGTCCCCTCATCGTCTATGTATCGGAAGTAGGGGACGTCAAAGGTGGGCATTGTCAGCGGCTCTGCCCGGCTGGTGCTGTCATTGCTGCTCTCCTCAGAACCTTCCTCGTCATCATCCTCGTCCTCCTCCTGCTCAACCAGGGCAGCGTGCAGCAGCCTGCCCTCCTCCTGCCGCAGGTTCGGGGTCTGTGGCCGAGATCCCATCCTTGCCGAGTCCCGGTGCCCTCACACAGGCAATGTTGCAGTGGTTACTGCTGTGTGCCCCTTTCACCCATCCATCCATCCACCTGCAGCTGCCACAGCCCGGAGTCCAGTGCTGTGTGAACCTTCAAACACTCTGAGGTATCCCAGTGTGTTCACGGCTGGAAAAGCTTGTGGATGACTTTGAATGGGAGGCAGCCAGCGGAGCTCTGCCTCACAGTCCCATGCTGCTCACTTATACAGATTTAATGTAGTCATTTATGTGTTGGGAGTTGTGATGTAAGCATGCCTGTGTGAGTGAGTGTGTGATCCACAGAGACGGAGAGAGAGACTGATGAGAGGGAGAGTGGTGAGGGAGAGAAACAGATAGTGAGAGAGGGAGGGAGGGAGGGGACTGGAGAGGCTTACCTCCTGTTCCTCGCCTCCTCTCTCCCCCCTCCCCTCGCCGATGCAGAGAGGGTTGGCTGCTCTGACGATATTCTCTGGAGAATCAGCACATCGCGGCCCCTCTCCCTCAGACACACGCGGACTGCCTCGTCACTCTGGGGCTGGTCAGAGAAAGAAGAGGTGAGGGAGTGTGTTATCACCAAGGAGATTCCCCTGTTTTTCTCCCACTCACACAAATCACCACTGATTTCCATCATAATACTCTGTCAATGCCCTGCACTGTAAATGAAAGAGAATTTCCATAAATCATTATTCAATCCTTATCGGCGGAGCCCATTCAGGGATTTACATAAAAGACTCGCACACATTTTAATTACAAATACCAAAAGCCTATTAAATCATGGGTGGTGTCCAGAGACAATCTGTGTCCAGCTGTCAAAGGGTTAAACTCTGGTAACACTGGTTTAGAGCAGGGCAGCAACGACCGACTGTTTTCATTATTGATTCATCTGCAGATAATGTTTTCAATTAATTAATTAATTAATTATTGCTGAGTCTTGGAAACGTACGAAAATGGAGAGCACATAACATAGCCTGTTATGTTTTCAGCGTGTTGTTTTATTTGACCAAAAGTCAAAATAACCAAAAATGTTTAGTTTAGAAAATAATGATGAATAAGGAAAAAATATTATTTGACCATGAAAATGGTTGTCAATATGTTTCTGTCAGTCGACTCATCCATTAATCCACGTATAGTTTGAGGCTAAGAGGTGAGTTTCAACACAGTTGGTCTTGAACCACCATGCAGTTCAATAAATGATACATTTATCATCATCATCATCATCATCATCATGTTGCCACCCTGTTTCACACTGTTACTTTCTTTCTCTGTTAGTCACACAATGTCCCCTAATCATAATGTTTGTTTGATATGTTGAAGCAACACTGGTTACCCTAGACTTTGACTAATATTTCAACATACTTGTTTAAATATAACTTTCTTTAAGCACACAATTAGAAAGATTGTTTTTGCAACATCTTTGAAGTATAGAGATGGCTGGTAGCTGCTTGACAGTCGAGGGTCTGGATCAGAGATATTGGTCTTAATGAGGAGTTCACTGTATGGTGCACGCACATGCATCCTTCCTCAGCTAACCCCCCCCTTCACCCCCACTCTCTTTGGCCATCAGTCAATGCAACACAAGCCTCTGTTCATGCAATTAGCCGGGTAGACAGACTGAAAGTGGTTGCAGTTTTCTGCCCTAATTGCCTTTTGCAGAGAAGCACACAGGACCCTTTAGCCAAGCATGACTTCCCGGCACATTAACACTTATCTGGGATCTGTGGACATGCATATATAAATACATACACAGACAAATTCATTGACAAAACATGCACGCAAACAACTATCATTTCTTAACTGTGTACATCACTGAGTAGACCAATTTTTAACATTAATATTATAGTCCCCCAGTGGCCTCTTTAAACAGAAGAGAGGTTTTCAAAGCCTCAGGAAGAACCATTTATGTAAATATGTGCCGGCAGTTTTTTAAGTGCTGTGATTTATGATGTAAGTTTAAATGTCTGCTAATGTGACAACTTATGAATTCAATTCAATTAATGTTATGTTAATATGAGATGCACTTGTGAAAGTACTTTCATGTACTGATAGGAGTATCCTGTGTATCCTTGCCAAAGGCGGTAATGTCCTGTCACAGGATCAGTATGATATAAGGTTAGGGGCATGACCGAAATCACAGAACTAGAACATTCCCAGAAAGGAAAGCCTGCGCTGATTAGCTTCCTGGTTCTTTGGAAAACACATTGGTGGTTTTATCTTTATCACAATGTGACGTTCACAGTGTGTTCTTATAGTTTCATCAAAGGCCGCTGTGTTTGTCTGACTAAGTGCGACATCAAAGCAAGCTGAATTATTTCCTACAGTATAATTAACAGCAGTGTCTCAGTGTACTGTTTACGGGTCAAACCGCAAACAAACCTTTCCTGACAATGAATTATTGATCAGGCCTCCGCTGCAGGCCACTGCTCAGTCCGCTCTAGGCTTTGTGGTTACCAGTGTCCCAGCAAAAAAACATAATCAGGCTTCTAGAGTGGATGCTTATAATGAGATAAAGTGCCAGGCTACAGCGTTCTCACATTAGCCTGGAGGTGACCTCGAATCACATTCACCACCAAAGTCCTCCCAACATGGACACCGTCAGCTGAAGAGTAAACACTACTTATCAGGCCTCTGCACAAAGTCATGTCCCGCCAAACGGTTTGTCTCTTTCAGGGTTCCAGATGCATACCGCTGGCTGGAGGGAAACTTTCTGTCTGCACGTCTCAATGCTGCTGCGGCACTGGAAATCACCAGTTCAGACAGGGCGCAGATTTGTACAAAATTTGACTCAAGGAATAGCGTGGATCACACAGAATGGGAATATGAGGAGGACAAAAGATGCATACATCAGCGTTGTTTTCAAAGGAGCCTTTGATGCAGACGCACTTCACTATCTCCAATTATAATTACCGGTAGCAGAAATTCCTGTGTTTAGCTTTGATGAAATATTGTAAACAATTGTATGTCCATGTTATGTAAAATATGTAAACATAAGCTTTTTGAGGCTTCATGAATGGAAGAGTAGCTGTATGTTCTAATCATACTGTATGGATAGAGCAAAGAAAAGTAATGTTATGTTGGGTGTAAGAAAAGTGTGCAACAGATGATCACGCACAACTCCAGTAACTACCCCTGAATAATTGAATACAGTGGAAATTTAATATGAGAAAAGAACAAGTGATTCCTAAAGTCAAAACTGGTATCTTTAACATTTAAACCCAACGGGATTTTGCAGCAAAATTAATAATGAATAGATGCATGTTCTTTTTTCATATTTAAGGACATAGCGTAACAATCATGATGTTCCTGCGCCAGAATCTCTCACACATTTTAACAGTTGTGCAGTCTACCGTATATTAAGCATCCCTCTTTCCACCAGCTGGGATTAACTGACTTCTAAGCTCTTTAAGGTCTGGGTTTAGATATTTATATGAGTCACATGTTTTACAGTATATGCATTGTAGCATCATTGGATTACTTTAAACCATTTTATAATCTAGAAACACCAGGATATACTCTCACATCATCTAAATATTTCTATTTGATGTCAAGTATTAAAAGTCAGCTTATCTGGCCATTACCACTAACATTACATAAGTGACTCACACATGTCATTGGTGTACTGCTTTGTATTCACAGTATGAAAAACTTGGCACAATACATGTTTCTAAAACAAAAAAGGTAAATCAGATTGTTCTATTATGTAGCACTAGCATTTGATCATATGCAGATTGGCAGTGCCTACTGTAAGTCTAAACAAAAGGTTGCTATAATGCAATAAGAACATTGATAAGAAGATCTAGCCTTTTAGAAAGGTCAGAGACCCAATGTACTGGAATCCACCCTAAATCCACACAATGTCTTGGCATGGTGGTCTGGCAACTTGCGTCAACTTTTCCTGCCATTGTTGCTCAGTTCAGCACACAGACACAGCTGGCAGGAAGGGAGAAGCTGAGCCCACCCTGAGGTCAGCCAATCACAAGTGTCCTAGGCAGCCAACTGGCAGGTGATGTAATGTTTTTTTAAAACTGTGCAGGCTGAACTGAACATTCAGTACCTGAACTTACGTTTTCAAGGATGCTGCCATACTGATAAGAGACAACTTGCACTCTAAAAGTATGTAAAGTGTCTGTAATGACATTGCAACTGTGAAAGGCCAAGCCAATGTTGAATTGAATGGATACAGTGCATCTGGTAAGTCAATTGTATGCATATGAACACAATCTACTATGCAATATTCTGTAATGAAGTATTCTATATACAGTTTATTGCAGTAGACTGGAGACTTTTTTTTGGTATATTCATTTGAATAAAGGATTTTTGTAGTCTGGAGAGAATCTTAATGACAACATACATCTTCTGAGAAAGCAGAGACACTATAGGAATGTATGGAGGCCAATAAAAACAGACAACAAATTGAAAGTGGTTTGATGGATGGAACACTGCAGGGAGTGTGAGAAACGATCCTTGGGATGCTCACAGAGCAGCAGCATAAACACCACACTAAGTAAAAAGGGATGATGTCACGGAATATTTAAGGATGAAGCATGCTAATTCAGTGTTAATAATAATGACATGAAGAGGACTAAGAAGATAAGCAGTTTGTCGGATTTTTCTCACGGTAACAAAGCCAAAGATAGCTATACATGAGAAAGGTACATTCTGAATGCAGCAGGATTGTTGTGTATCTCACCTCACTTGTCCTCTCCGGACCCTTGCTGTGGTTCTGCAGGAAGCGGCAGCCATCCTTGGCCAGTCTCTGGACCATCTCCAGTCGGGACAGATCCTCCTTATCATGCAGGATACACATGCTGCCCGGCTGCAGTGCAGGGGATGCGGAGAACATGTACTTCAGGCCACAGTCCCACGACATCGCCGGCGACCTACTACAGGCTGCACACCAGAGAAAAAAACAGTAGGGCTCCTGCCTCTGAGCTCTAACTACTCTGAAAAAGAGTAGAGTGTAGAGCCAAAAAAATGGTGTATTTGTGTTTCTGTGTATGCTGCCCAGGTGAGTTCTAATGTCATTGCAGGCAAAGTCAATCCCGGTCGCTGTAGCTGAGAGGCACACACAGAAAAGGTATCCAGGTATCTCTCTGTGCTTGGCTTCACTAAATGACAGATCCCCTCTCTCTGTCCTTCCCTTGTTTTTCACTGCTGGGGAGGGCAGTGAGGTATGAACACAGTGGACTCAGGAAACATCTGGTGAGCTGGACAGCCCAAAAAAGGAAGTTTCACAATCTCACGAAAGCAAAGGGGAGAGGGTAGATTCAGGATTGGGCAGGGAGGGAGAATACATTGGAAGGTCAAACACTTGTTAGGGTGGAGACGTATGACGTGTGAGGAGGTTTTAGGTCACTCAGGCACAAGCACTAAAACAATACATTATTGTTCTGTTTTCAGTCTTTAAAATGTCAGAAAAAGCGTCAATTAAAGGCTCCCAAATATCAAGGCATGTCAAAGTCAACTTTAATGTCAATCTTTCAGTTTGTGTGTAAAGACAGAGAGATCGAAATAACATTTCCAATCCGGAGTACAAAAATTGTATTACACTGCTTATTTCTTCCACAAATACGAACCCAGACTAATTTATGAATTAGGTCAACCCACCACAGTTAAATGTCACATTTAAAAAGGTGGAACCAAATTATTCTTGAAAAATGTATTCATTCCCTAATCAAATACAGCATGTAGCTGCTGTTTCCTTTAGCTGACCAACTAACCAATTCATTGAAACTCTATTTCAGCAGAATAACACAGCTACAGTAAAGCCTTGTGGTACCAATGGAGTTTTTATTCCTAGTGATGCTATACTAAAGCTTTGTTGAGCTGTCCCCTTACTGTTGTATCTAATCTGCGTTGTGCACAAAGCGTCTCTTCTTATTAAAGATCACCGACTTGTCAGACACTTACTAATTAAATGAAGATTGTCACCAGCGTGATCCTACACATATTGATGAAGGTAAAGCAAGGACATTAATCCTTCCTATGAAGACTTTATCTGTTAGCGTTATATCTTTTCCCCTCTGTCAGCACAGCAGTGTGATGCTTGACTGGGTCCTTCCAAAGCCTTTCAATTGTGCTGCTGGTCTAAACTGCTGACACAGCAAACTGCAGAATGAGAAAAGGTCCCTCATCTCTAGGTGGTGCGTCTTTTTCATGTGAGGTTAAGACCCATAATTCTACTTTGCTCTTATCTGATTGGGGAAATGTCCATTGCCCTCATATGCACTATTTGCATTCATAATTTCAGTTAAATAATGAAATCCCTAAATTATCTTTTGGCAATTATTCACTACAGCTGGGGTCTCTATATTCAGAATGCACGGATAAAGCCTCTTCATCCTTTGCTACTTCAACAGCCTAATAAAATAGGCTTAGAATAATCCTCAGCTTATTGGTTATACAAAACTGACTTCATTGAGAAATGAAATTCATTTTACCACATCATTGATTTGAACATTTGTAGCTTGTAGACCTAGCCACTGTCCTATATCTTACTGTATACAGGAAGAAGGATATTCTATACCTTTTCACTATGCTATGGAAAGGAAATTGTTGGCCTTGAATTTCTAAAAAACAACCTTCTTCTTTCCTTCTCTGTTCCTTAGTGAGACAACGCCAGGAAGACAACTCTAGCTTTAATGAATTGCAAAGTGAGAATGCCTACAGTCAGACTTTTTAGCAAGCTCGCTCTAACACAGCCATCTTTAACCAGGGACTTGGTTACTGTAGGCCTGTGGCACGGCAATAGAGGGAAATACTGATGAAACTCTACTGAGCCTGTTGCAGTACACACTTTACAAAATACCATCCAGACAAGTACATATATTCAACAACTGCACAATCTCAAAAAATGAAAGAAGTTACTCAACACCAGAAACAATGACATCACCACATGTGTATGAATTATGACTAGAATCCTTGTTTTCTGCACTTTTACATTACTAAAGCACAAATTAAATTAGGCAAAAACAGAAAAGTGATACATGAGCTTCCTTTCAGACTTGGAAGTTAATTTGTAGGGACCACATGAGTATTAAAACATAAGCATGCTGTCTCCTCCAGGAACATCTGTGTTTTTTTAAAGGTAATAAGCCCTACTTTAAGAAGACGCACTGTAAAAAGTATCACAACAACACACTAACTGCCATTTTTAGATTATTCAAATTCCTTATTATCCGATTTAAATCAGGAACATTTAATCTACGACACAATAAATAAAATATGGTTTTAACCTGGTTTCTATATATTTGGACTCTTTTTATATGAGGCAAGGACATGCATTTATTGATAGAATAGCCTGCATTAAACTAAAGCAGTCTAAAAACTAGCATTCCAACAAATTATCCTATTTCACGTGGTGTAATGTTCTGCCATTCACTGAATATTTGTATATTCAAAATCTACATAACAGTAAATTGTTGATGCATTTGGAAATGTCACTATCACCTCAGTATCATCAATGCATCTTGTGCCAAACATTGTGGTGTTAGCTGTTATGCTTTTATTGTGATAGAGCTAACAGGATGTATGAGACCGGATGTGGTCACAACTGGTCATGCTACTACCAAATGACATGGAGAGCACAAGCCTGAATAAAGTAACCACCATGCTCTAAACCGTCTGTATTACTTTACGCTTACCACGAAATGGTGTCAGAACGTGGGCAGCGGTAAAGAGCTAGGTTGAAGTTGGAAAGAGAGTTGTGGAAAGTTAACGTCTGCAAGCGGCGAGATGTTAGACGACGGCCGAGCTGCAGCCACACCGGCTGCCTCCACAGCCTCCACAACCTCCCCAGCTACAGGCTAATGCTAACGCTCCTCCGAGCGCAACGTTCACCATCCAACCACCTGAAGCATTCGACTTTGCAAAGCCTCAGGACTGGGAGCGATGGATACGCAGGTTCGAGAGATTCAGACTGGCCAGCAACCTCCATCTTAGCACAGAAGCTAACCAGGTGAACACGCTGATCTACTGCATGGGGGATGAAGCAGACGATATCCTACGGGGTCATGATTTATCCGACGCACAGAGACAGCAGTATACTTCGGTAAAAGCCACACTTGAAACGTACTTTGTGCCTAGAAAGAACGTGATATATGAGAGGGCAAGATTCAATCAGAGAGTGCAGCAACCAAACGAGGCTGTAGACGCTTTCATTACTGCATTGTATGCCCTAGCAGAAAACTGCAAATACGGAGCACTCCGCGACGAGTTAATAAGAGACCGGCTCATAGTGGGGTTGAGGGACACCAGTCTAGCTGAGAGGATGCAGTTAGACAAGGATTTGACGCTCGAAAAAGCACAATAGCTATGTGATTGTGCAGAAAGAAGTTCTGAGGTTCTTGCAGAGTTTTCAGTTTATCACCTGATATTGCATTTTCTGAGTCACAGTATATAAATGTGACAGTCTGTTCTGTTTTCTTAAGAAAGGGAGATGTGGTGTTAGCTGTTATGCTTTTATTGTGATAGAGCTAACAGGATGTATGAGACCGGATGTGGACACGACTGGTCATGCTACGACCAAATGACATGGAGAGTACAAGCCTGAATAAAGTAACCACCATGCTCTAAACCGTCTGTATTACTTTACGCGTACTACGACAATGATGGCGAGTGATCTGTCGCCATGGCAACGCCATTTAAAAATGTAAAATTCAAATTAAACACATTAACAGCCTTCAAATCATATTTTAATGTCTATTTTCATGTTAATTGCATCAATTATTTCAGTTATGACTTCAAGAAAGGGCCTTCATTTGTTTTTTAACGTACACCTTTTTAATTTTAATTTAATTTCAGAGTTAATATTGTATATTTACTCACTTTTTACTGAAAAACATGTGATATAAATGAAATCATATAGTACTGTATTTCCTACCAGTATTTTAAAAAATATATTAAAAAAGTGCCATCGTATTGACAAATTGATAGAATTGACAGGATAATATCAATGGTAATATAATACTGTGAACAGAGCCATTCCGCATAGGCTACTGTACTTCTACTTTTGATACTTCGAGTACATTTAGCTGATAATACTTGTTGTTTTACTTAAGAAACACTTTGTGTTCAATAAAATTGAAAGTCCTGTATTCAGAGACAGGAAACAACAGACAAGACAGGACAAAATGAAGCTTAGCGTAAATTCTTTCAGGAAGACTGGTATACTTCAGTCCGCAGCTACTTATAATCAGCTCATCACGGGCGTTCTCTTTAACCTATTACATTCCTGGGACTTTTAGTGTCGACTGACGTCCTCTCCTCCTCTTGGTAAATTTCAAAACCGGGGACGCGTGCACTAACCGACGGGACCACCTCNGCGGTGCTGCCCCTCACACACACATGCTTCAAATCAAGTTGCATAAATGCTTGAGCTACGTTTTTATTAAAATTACTGTGAAATTGAAATGCATTATGTTTTCGTCATTATTACAACAAATACACACTTGCAACTGATAACACTGGCCATAATTTTATATTTATTAGACTATTCAAAAAAAATCATCCTTCAAAAAAGTCGGTGCT